GTTAAGCATGAGGCTATTTTTCCCTTGTATGAGGTAGAAAGGCTGTGTAGGGTCATTCTCAGAATTAAAAGTTAAAAGAGTTATATAGGAATATCTTATGTCTAATATGTGGCACAGTGTTTGAGTACATATTCATGTGGGTATTTTTCTAGACATGGGAGATATGTATACTGGCAGCATCTCTTAAGACTACACTTCTAAAGGCAGGGTGTGTTGCTGCCATGATTATATTTCATTGCTTCTGGGGAAGTCCTGTGGAAAAGAGGTAGGGGAAGAACACTTAAGATATTTAAAAGTGGGAGAAATTAAGAAAATCGATTAAGTCTAAGTTAAACTTACAAATTAAATTTAATTAAGAAAACTAAGACTGGGGAGGAGAGAGTAAATTTTTCTCAATTATCATGAGGGAAGGGGGAAGTAGACAACTATTGTATATACAATATATATCTTTGATACATTATAGTTTAGGTGATTTTTATTTATTTATTTTTTTAAAGAAGAAAGGAAAACACTTAAAGACAAGTTAGTGTCAAGCTAGAGGTGGAACCCCAGGACATGTGTCTAGGTTTCTTGACTTTTCCTGTGACATTTTATTAAATTACCTATTCTGTTACTGACAGATGCCAGTTTCAATTAAAAATATACTGACATTCATAGAAGGACTACAAATTTACCACTGAGGTTAAATAATACTATCTTGATGTAAGTATTTTAAAATAATCACTAAATTGGCTTAAAAACTTAGGTTTTGATAGCATTATACATAGCTTAGTCCTAAAAAATTTAATGTAGATTACTTACGTATACTGTGTGAGCTAATAAACTAATATGTAAATAATTTAGTGAAATATGTTTATGGAATTCTCATTTATGATTTTTTTAAATTAGGAACTTAACAAAACTCTGATTAATATTAAATACTCAGTGTCTATATATCCAAACATCCTTTGTATCAATACCTGTGTTTTTACATAATTGTAATAGGTGGCTGGCTACATATTCTGCCTTTCTCCTTAACATTACATAAATGTTGAAACAGTTTGTCTGAATATACCAGAAAAAAACCAAACCAAACAAACCCTGGAATAGTCCCTTATGTTATCACATAGTTTCAACATTACTTTGTGATTTTAATTATTGGTTATTATAAAAAGTGCTGCTGAGAATGTCTTGGTACAGATTATTTTCTTTTGTATTCGTTGATTTCCTTGGGGATGTATTTCCTTGGTGGTTTATTACAGAAGCAGAATTTCCTGTTCAAAAAAGCTCTGTAGCTTTTGTTATGTATCGGCAACTTTCTAGAACTACAGAATCAGTTTATGGTGCTACCAGCAATATTTATCTACTTATTTACCAACAGTCTCATCAACATTGGCATTTATAATAAATACTTAATTTTGCTAGTTTAGTGACTATATTCTCAGTAGCACCTTAAAGTCATTTTGATTTGTAGTTTTAATTAGTAACACAATTGTGTATTTTTTGTTAGTGTAGGATTTGTTTGTGAAGAGTTCTCATTTACCTGTTTACTGAGTGGAGTCTGAGTGATACCTTCATATATTTAATCATTTCTCTTTTTTTTGCATAGCAACTTTATTATGGCTGTTGCATATTTTTCTATTCCATTACTTTTATTTTGATATTTCTTTTATTTTACCTATTTAGGGATTTAAGATCAAATATATTATCTGTTTTTCTCATGACCTGTGTATCCTTCTTAATCATATTATTCCTCTAAAACTAGATTTGTTAAGAATTTTTTTGACATAAAAATTAACCTATTTAGGATTTATTAAATGGTATTGTGAAGTTATAGGTCCAACTTAGTTTAGTAGAATAATTTTTTCTTTCATTTTAAGAAATTAGTTTTTCTTATTATAAAAGATCTATATTTTTGTTTTAGAAATGTACAGATTCATTCTAATTCTGAGAGCCTCTTAATATTTTGGGGTAGAATCATTCTGGTTTCTTCATTTATACTTTTTAAAAAGAAATGTGATGATATTCTATGGCTGATCTTATAACCTGCTTTTTAACTTAGTGATTTGTGAATATTTTCCTATGTTATTTAACATTTTTCTATAACATTTTGATTGGCTGCATTGTGATCTAGCAGAGGCTATAGATGTACTGTAATTCACTTAACTCCCGGTATTACATATACTTTTATCAATAGCACTATAACTAGAATCTTTGTAGTTATATCATTATACACATTTTAAAATATTTTCTTTGGGCATATTTCCACAAATGAAATTACTTATCACTTTTTTAATATCAGAAAGATGAGCTGGTATGTGGTAAAGCTCTGAATGCTAGGTGTCAAAAGACTGGTGGTTTGGCCACTTATTACCCACATGGAAAGCCACTTTGGCTCAGGATAAAAATTTTAGTAATCTCATAATATGCTGGCTCAAAACTGCTTATGTAATCTAAAAAACTGTTATAATTTGAAAAATGGCCAAAGTTTTGATGTGGACACTCTTGTTTCATGTATGTGTGAGGAGTTTGAATAAAATTGTTCTATGAAATGTGAGATGAGGCAAACTGTTTCTGAGTCAATATTTTATAGGTCATGTGTTTTTAATATTTAAGTATACTAATAAATTATAAATACATAGTTGTATATTCATATGATAAAAATGAATTTCAAATATGCTCACAGGTAAATTAAGGAACTCACTTTATATTTGGAATTGCCTTATATTTGGGCATATTTAGCTTATGACCTTAATTTGTGAATTACTAAAGACTGGCAATTACTTAGGTAAACTTTCAATTTTAAGGATTAGAAATGAACCACAGAGTAAAGCCAAACCAACTTGTGAGGGGAAAAATAATTAGAAAAATGACAAAAATTAATAGAAAAATAAAAGAAAATCAACAAAACTGAAAACTAATTTTTGGACCCATAAACTAGGCAAACTTCTGGCAAGATTAATCAAGAAAAAGGGAAGGCAAAAATTAACAGTATTAGGAATGAAAAGAAGGTTTTAACTTTTAGATGTAGAGATATAAAAATCATGAGAGACTACTATAGATAGCTTTTTAGGAATATATAAGTCACCCAGCTCTAAGAAGAGCAGATTTGGCTATGGAGTAGGGATTTAAGGGTCTTGGCCATGTTATGTTTGAGATAATTCTTTAGATGTTGAGCAAGCTACTAGCTTATATTAATAAATAATGTGGAAAGCAGGTCATTTTGGAGGCCGTTTTAATCAAACTTGAGATGATAAGATCTGAACTAAGGCAGTGGTATTTGGGGTGAAAAGAGAGTATAAAATTAAAAATTTGAAGAACATTTAAGTGACTGTAGATAGGGAGTAGGCTAGGAAATATTATTCATAATAAGAAGTGAGGTTTTGGCCAGGCAAAGTGGTGTGCTCCTTTAGTCCCATCTACTGTGGAGGCTGAGGTGGGAGGATTGCTTGAGCCCAGGAGTTGGAGGCTGCAGTGAGTTGTGATTGCACTCCAGCCTGGGTGAAAGAGCAAGCCCTGTCTCTAAAAAACAAAACAAACAAGATAAAGAGGCCTGGTATGGTGGCTTGTGACCATAATCTTAGCACTCTGGGAGTCTGAGGAGAGAGGATTGGTTGAGGCCAGGAGTTCAAGACCAGCCTGGACAATAACGAGAGCCTATCTCTAGAACAAATTTTAAAGATTAGCCAGGCAGTGGTGGTATGTACCTATAGTCCAAGCTACTTGGGTGACTGAGGCAGGATGATGGCTTGAGGCCAGAAGTTGGAGGCTGCAATAAGCCGTGATGACACCAGTGCACTCCATCCTGGGCAACAGTGAGACCCTGTCTCAAAAGAAAAGAAATGAAATGAGAGGTTTTTATCTGTAGTTGAATGCCATTGTCCAGTGACTCAGATAAAAAAAAAAAAATCTTGCAAGGAAGTTCCCTCCATTAAAGAGGTTTATTGGTTATCGTGAGTAAAATGTAGGGAAATAACCTTATTTCAGTGTTTCATTTTTATTTCAATTTGGACAATTTTCAGTTTTATTTATGGTATATTGAAAAGCAATTGATAATATAACTTTAAAATTCAAAATTAGTTGTATATTAGTTGATCCTCCTGTAACAAAGTTTCTCAGCAGAGATATTAGATAAGCTTTTCTCAAGTAATAACTTAACATCTCAGTATAGGTTTTCAAATTGGAATGATATTTTTTCTGAACATCTAATAATGATTAAGAATTTTAGATCTATTGGTAGATTTATAAAGAGGAAACCCAATTTTGTTACTTCTTTCTTAGTAAGAACTTTTACCCCAAGACAACAAGATGGTTCTTTTTGATTAAGATTTATTGCCTTTCTGGAAGAAGATATACTTTAACATTGGTCTTAAGGGTAATTAAAAATTTCAGTGAAGGGCACTAGGTTGCTGGTGAGTAGCATGCATATCATTAGTATGCAGAGCTTTGGCTGTTTTTTATATGTTAGGTGGATAAGCTACTTATGTATTTTTCTCTACTCAGATTTTTAAACTTCAAGAGGCAAAAATAGTTTTCTTGTTATTTTTCTTTTTGTAGATTACATTAATCAAAATTTCCTTTTGTCTTTGACAGTACAGAAAAAATGTTGAAAAGTATTTTTGAACTCAACTCTTTGGAATCTGAATCCATCTATCCTCACTTTCACTGTCCCTTTCTCTGACATCTTGGGTGTAGGGATGAACCTGTCTCAGAGAGAGGCAGTGTTTGGGTCCTTAGCAATTACGTTTGCTTGGTACGTGTTGTCTGTAATTCAATTAAAACTTATAGCAGATCTATATGCTGTGTTATTTGAGATGTGTGGTATTGTAAATCTCAGATTTCAGTCTTTTTAGGGAATGTGAAATGATAGTAGAAGACATTGAAAATTAGAATAAAATAAGAGAACTCTATGTTACATTAAGCCACATTTTAAAATGTTTTAATTTTATTCTGTACAGATTACAGTTAAAAACCTTACATAAAAAGAAAATAGATAAATTATGCTTTCTTTTTCTTAACAGAATTCATAAAAGTAAAGTATTTTTAAAGAAGGTAACAAAAAGAGAAGGAAAATGCCGAAACCGGTAAGTATATTTTACTACTTTTGATACCACTTATTTAATAAGATATCATTAAGTACTTTTGGAATAAGGCAGGGTATTATGGTAAAGTTGTTGGAAGAAAAAGGCACTACTAATACTGTTCATCATTTTAGATTAATGTGGCTAGAGTGTAGTATTATGTGGGCAGTGAAGAAGAGGTATAGGTAACATTGCAGTAAAAGTTAAAATTCATGGCTTCTGGGGTCAAACTGACTTGAGTTCTTCCGTAGCTCTGCCACTTAATCTGGGTAACCTTTGTTAATTTGGTTCTATCTCTCCAGTTCTCATATATAAAATGGGGATATAATTAGTAACTTAAGGGAATATGGTGAAGATTAGAAGACTCTAATACATATTCAGCACTCAGTAAATGGTTACTTATTGTTAAACAGGAAGAAATAATGAGGGGTTGGGAGGATCCATGCATTATTAATTTTCTCATAATTCTAGCCTTTGATGCAAGTGATACTGATGTTATATAGTTTTAGATTTTTTATTTAGGAGTATACCTGTGATCATTTTACTTAGTTTTATAATTATTTGGTTTTCTTAACTAAGGTTTTTTCCCTTTTTTCTTTGGGTAAATGTTCTTAATCTAATGAAATGGGTTTTTTCAGTAATGTTTCTTTTGGCCAGTTATCTTTTTAAAGAAAACTGTTGGTTATAGTTGTTGGAAATTTCTGGCATGAATATCACTTTGGAATGACTTTAAACACTCAGCAGATAACAAAATGTGCATTGTTGGAGAGAGAGAAGAATATAAATAAAGGGCATAAAGATCAGAAAGAAAGAAGTTTTCTATTTGCAGATGGCATTATTGTTTATGTAGAAAATCCTCGCGAATCTAGAAAATGGCTATTAGAACTAATAATTGAACTTAGCAAGATTGCTAGATGTAAGATTATATTTTTTAAAAAAATCAATGATCTTTTTTTATATACTAGCAGCAAGGTTTGAAAAATGAAGTAACAGCATTTGTAACAGCGTTAAAAACATAAAACACTGAGGAATAAATGTACAGAGGCTGTATGGTATCTCTATACTGAACACTTGCTATAATAAATTAAAGATTTAAATTTATGGAAAACTATACAATGTATATAGATATGTTTATACAGTACTATTGAGATGTCAGTTCTCACCAAATATATTGGTAGATTAAATTCAGTTCTAATCAGTTGAATTCCAGCAGGCTTCCTTGGTTAAAATTGACTAGATAATTCTAAAACATGTATGGAAATACCAAAATTTATAGGGAATAGCTAAAGCAATTAAAAAAAAAAAAGCTTAGAAAACTTATACTCCTGAATTTCAAGACTTATTCTCAAGCCACAAAGATAAGACTGGTCAAAGGACAGATAATAGGATCCACGGAACAGAAATATACCCACACATAAACACACATATATATTCCTTAGATTTTGGACAAGGTGTCACACAATTTAATAGGGAAATTTATTTTCAACAAATGGTGTTGTAACAAAGGGTTATCCATACAGAAAAACATGAATATTGATTGACCTTTTTTCCTTTCTGTTGACGTTGACTCTCCTATCACAGTTTACATAAAAATTAAATGGATGCTAGACCTAAGTGCAGAAGTTTAAATTGTAAAATATCTAGAAGAAAACATAGGGAAAGATTTTTGTGACTTTGGGGTGGGCAAAATTTTCTTAGATAACAGAAAGTTTGAACCATTAAAGAAAAAATTGGAACTTCATCAAAATTAAAGACTTTTGCTCTGAGAAACAGAAATAAGAACATGGAAAGGCAAGAGAGAATGGGAGAAAATAATTGCAGTATAAAGTTCTTTTATAGTTTAATAATTAGAACTCAGTTTTTTAAAAATGGGCAAAAAATTTGGGCAGATACTTCACAGAAACTAGTAGTCAATAGGCAGTAATAGTCAATAAATACATGAAAAGATCCTCAACCTTTTTAGTTTCCAGGGAATACAAATTAAAACTACAATGAGATACTACTTTATATTTACTAGATGGGCTAAAATTATAGATAACATCAAGTGTAAGTAAGGATGTGGAGCAACTGTAATTGTAATATATTTCTAGTAGGAATGTGAAAGTTTACAACTACTTTGGAAAACTCTTTGGCAGTGTAATTGAATGGAGAACATTTGTTTATTGTTCCTTAAAGAGTCAAAATTGTACATATAGTTGGATATCAGTTATGCCTGTTAATGCATTAAAAATTCTGGAAAATATTTCAGTATATTAATAGTCAATTTTTAAAAAAAGAGATAGGGTCTCTGTCGCCCAGGCTGGAGTACAGTGGGATGATCATAGTTAACTGTAGCCTCAAACTCCTAGTCTCAAGTAATCCTCCTGCCTCAGCCTCCAGAGTCAATGGGGTTATAGACATAAGCTACCAAGTTTGGTGCAGCAGTTTTTTTTCTTAAACTTTTTGGGTCAGGCTGGGTGTGGTGGCTCACACCTGTAATCCTGGTATTCTGGGAGGCCAAGGCAGAGGAGTTGGCCTCAAACTCCTATTGAGGCCAGGAGTTTGAAACCAGCCTGAGCAAGAGTGAGATCCCATTTCTATAAAAAATAGAAAAATTAGCCAGGTGTGATGGTGTGTGTCAATAGTCCCAGCTACTTGGGAGGCTGAGGCAGGAGGATTGCTTGAACCCTAGGAGTTTGAGGTTGCAGTGAGCTGTGATGATGCACGGCATTCTAGCCTAAGCAACAGAGTGTGCCTCTGTCTCAAAAAACCCAAACCAAAACAAACAAAAAAACTTTTTAGGTCAGAATATAGCCACCCTTCTCTTCCCACCCACCCTAATAAAAAAATAAAAGAAAATCTGTTTTTTCAAACCACAGAGCTTGAAGAAATTTAATTTGGTCTCCTTGTTTTACATTGATTTTGTTGTCCCAGCTTTATACTTGATAGATACCTAACTTTGTTCAAGTAACAACTTCTGTAAACTTTAATTACAAAATAATGTGGATTTGATAACAAGTGCTTTGATTACCTCAAATACTGATTGTTAGGATCAAATGAAAAGGTTTTAAAAGCTATCTTATAGTGGTTTTTTAATTAAACATTATTTTTATAGGTAGCATTTTTATTTTTCACAATGTTATTTATCATATTTAAGGAAGTTAATATTTAAATTTATCAGCTATAATTTCTAATATGGTAAATATTGATAGATATAACTATATAAATTAAAGCTTTTTGGATACTTAGTAATATTTTTTTTTTCTTGAGACAGAGTCTCGCTCTGTTGCCCTGGCTGGAGTGCAGTGGTGTCATCATAGCTCACTACAACCTTAAACTCCTGGGCTCAAGCAATCTTCCTGCCCTAGCCTCCATAGAAGCTGGGACTACAGGTGCACATGACCATGCCTGGCTAATTTTTCTATTTTTTGTAGAGATGAGAGCTTGCTTTTGCCCAGGCTGTTGAGTGCTTAGTAATTTTAAAGAGTTTTGTAAAGGGATCCTAAGTCCAAGAAGTTTAAGAACGTTTGGCCTATGGCATTATTATAGTCTCTGTGGGTGAGGTGCATTACTGCTATGTGTGGGTTCCAGTCAGCAGGAAGGGAGGAGAAAACATAGGGAATTATGCCCACTCTTTTATGCTTAGGCCCAGAAGTGGTTTACATCTCTAATGCTCATGTTCTATTGGTGAAAGCTTAGTCGCACAGTCATCCTTAATTCCAAGAGACCTGGAGAAATACACTGTAACTCAACAGCCATATGCACAACTATAATTCTAATAGATTTGGTGGTCAAAGAACAAGCAGTATCTGCCACAGTCACATGATTAGTTTAAAGAAGAAAAATTGTATGATAAATTCAGGAAGAGCATTTACTAAAATCGAATAACTAACTACTCTTGATTTAAAAAAATAAAAACCAACACCTCTTAAACTAGATATAGAATGAAACCTACAGCAAAAGACAATCTTAATGTGTTAACAGTAGAAGCATTCTTTTTAAAATCAGGAATAAGATAAAAGAAATGTAGTATCACTGCTGCTATTTAACATTGAATAGGAAAACCTGTTGTACAGAAAAAAGAAATCAAAAGCTTAAGAACAGGAATAGCTATTCTGGAGGCTGAGGCAGAGGGATTGCTTGAGCCCAGGAATTTGAGGTTGCTGTGAGCTAGGCTGATGCCACGGCACTCTAGTGTGGGCAACAGAGTGAGACTCTGTTTCAAAAAAAAAAGGCCAGGCATGTTGGCTCATGCCTGTAATCCTAGCACTCTGGGAGGCCAAGGCGGGCAGATTGCTCGAGGTGAGGAGTTTGAAACCAGCCTGAGCAAGAGTGAGACCCTGTCTCTACTATAAATAGAAATAAATTAATTGGCCAACTAATATATATAGAAAAAATTAGCCAGGCATGGTGGCGCATGCCTGTAGTCCCAGCTACTCTGGAGGCTGAGGCAGGAGGATCGCTTGAGCCCAGGAGTTTGAGGTTGCTTGTGAGCTAGGCTGACGCCACGGCACTCACTCTAGCCTGGGCAACAAAGCAAGACTCTGTCTCAAAAAAAAAAAAAAAAAAAAAAGAACAGGAATGGAAGGAATACTATTAGAAAATATTGTTTTATAATCAGAGGTTACAAATCACGGCCCACAGGCCACATCCAGTGAGCCACCTGCTTTTGTACTGTATGTGAGCTAAGAATAATGTTTACGTTTTCAATGGTTGAAAAAATAGTATTTCATGACACATGAAAATTAGGTGAAATTCAAATTTCATTGTCTGTAAAGTTATACTGGAACACAGTATGCTTATTTGTTTATTATCACCTACGGTTGCTTTGTTGCTATATTGGCAGACTTGAGTGGATGCAACAGATTGTACAGTTTGCAGAACCTAAAATATTTACTATTTGAATATAGTAAATATTTTATTCTAAATAATATTCTAAAATATTTACTATTTGAATATAGTAAATATTTTATTCTAAATAATATTCTAAAATATTTACTATATTCAAATAGTAAATATTTTAGAATATAGTAAATATTTTACAGAAAAAGTATTGACCCTTGGTTTATATTAATATAAACACAAAGATTTATAGGCTCATTGTAACAATTGGTAAGGAACTAATAATAAGATCAATATAAAAATGCATTGCATTTCTACATAAGCAAAAAAAAAATTTGGAAAGATATTTCAGTAGATTTACAGTCCTGTATTTGAAACCCTTGATAAATTTTGGAATTGGAATTTTTTGGACTTTAGAATATATACTATGTGCATATGTCATTGTATCATGAAACTTCCATCAAGGTCTATGGCATCACCTCAAAAACATTACTGTTTCTGTAGATTAATATGTGAATATTCATATGAAGTAGGATAAATTAATTCACTACAAGTGATAGTCTCACATCACTTCATGTCAGATTTTTGCTCAAAATTAATAAGCTTCAGTTTTCAATGCTTTTAAGATGTTAAAATTATGAAATAGGGACTGTGGACTCAAATTTACAATAGCTACAAAGCCATAATGATCTAAGGGAAAATATCTAACATGATGAAAATGATTTTTATGAAAAAAATTATAAATAATTTGTTTAAAAAAAACACATTAAAATACATTTGAAAGACATTAAAGAAGACCTAAATCAGTGAATGTGAAGAACCACAGTCATGGATAGGAAGAGTCCATTTTGAAAAGATGTCAGTTCTTACCCCATGAAATTGATGAATTTAGTGTGGCTCCAATTCTAAATCATGATGGGATATTTCGAAAAGTTTACAATTTTATCTGGAGCCAAGAACAAGAATAGTAAGCCAAGAATAGCTAAAATAGTTCTGGAGAATAAAGAGGGAAGGCTTACCCTACCAGATATCAAGATTTATTTAAAGATATAATAATGAAGGCAGTATGATGTTAACAGAGTATTTAAATTGACCAATGGAGAAAAATCAGATCCATATCAATACAGACACTTGATTTGTGACAGTGCAGTCTTTGGGGAGTAAATGAACTCACATAATTAATAAATTATGTGAGAATTTTTAAAAAGTCCCCATGTCCATATGGGGATTAAGAAATGAAATTGGATCTCTACTTCTTTATAAGCAAAAATTATTGCAGACAAATTATAAAAAGCAAAACTTTAAAATATGTAGTAGTATCTTTATGTAAATATGAGTAGCTTTATGACTCCAGAGTAGGGAAGGATTTCTTAAATATGGCAAAAAGTTGATGTCTGTATGTAAAGCATTGATAAATTCAATCTTAAAATTAAGAATATCTGTTTATCATAAAGGACACCATAAAGTAGAATGACAACCCTCAAACTGGGAGATGATTTTTTTGTAACACAAATAATGGACAGAGGATTAATATCTAGAATATATAAAGACCTCCTAATAAGAAGACAGAAAAAAACAACCCAATAGAAAAATAAGCAAAATATGTGAACAGACATTTCAAAGATGAGGAGACTGGGTGGTCAGTAAACCACTATAGCGTTAGTATTCTATTGCTGTATACCAAATTACCACAAATTTAGTAGCTTAAAACAACACCCACTTATCATTTCACAGTTCTTTAGAAATCTGGGATTATGTGACTGGATTCTTTGCTCAAAGTCTTAACTAGACTGAAATCAAGGTGTTGGCCAGCTGTGTTTTCATCTGGAGCTCATTTAAGCTTATTCCACTTATTGGCAGAATTCATTTTATTGCAGGATGTTATATTCTTTAGTGAAGGATAAAGTCTACTTTTTCTCGCTAGCTGTTGGCCTGGGCCACTCCTCGTGGAGGCTGGTCTCTGTTTTTGCTTCCTTCAGTTCAGCAACAGAGAACCTCTTTTGTGTCAAATACCTCTCACACTTTGACATCTCTGTAACCACCTGTTCTGTAACCAAAGAAAACTCTTTGGTTTTAGAGGGCTCACATACTGAGTTTAGGCCCACCTAGATAATCTTCCTATCTTAAAGGCAACTGATTAGTATACCTTAAGTACTTCTGCAAAATCCCCGCCCCCCTTTTTTTGAGAGAGTCTTTCTCTGTTTTCTGGGCTAGAATGCACTGGCATCATCATAGCTCACTGTAACCCTAAACTTCAGGGCTCAGGTGATCCTCCTGCCTCAGTCTCCTGAGTAGCTGCGACTACAGGCGTGAGCAACTGTGCTCAGTCTGCAAAATCCGTTTTAACATGAAATGTAACATAATCATGGCATAACACCTGGAGGAGGGGCAGGGATCATGGGGCCATCTTAGAATTTTGTGTGGTATATACAGTATACAGAAATGTTGTTAACCTCTTCAGCAGTCAGGGATCCTCACACTAAGACCGCACTGAGATATTATTTTATACCCACTAGATTGTCAAACATTAAGAAATCTGATAATACCCACTGTTAGTGGAAATACAGATCAGCAAGCAAGAGTTGTAAGGTAATTCGGCGTTATGTGGTAAAGTAGAAGGTATGCACACTTTATTACCCAGGAATTCTGAATATATATTAATACTTCTAAATAAATTCTGACACACACAGTAGGAGACATGTACAAGAATGTTCATAGCAGTATTCTTAATAGCCAAAAAATCAAAAACAATATGTATTGAGAGGAAATGGGTAAATAAGTTATTGTTTAGTCACATGTAGAATATTGTATAGCAGTGAAAATGAATTGTAGAAATTGTATGTTTTTCATAAAGTGAAGAATACATTTGCACAATGAATAAAACTAAGTATTTGAGTTTTGTGTTGAAAGAAATATGGGCTAGTGAATGACATTCAAAGAGTTTGACCTCAGCTTAAATACCTCAGTTAAATAATAGTTAAATGATCTCAGTTTAAATACCTGTTATGCCTTTTGATATCATTATGTCCTTGGGCAAGTGGTGGAAACTCTTTATTTCTATAGAAATGAACATAATGTCTTCTGGTCTTGTTGGAAGGGCTAAATCAGAGTACAGAAAGCCCTTGGCCTCCTGCTCAGTATATGTTAAGTATTCAGTAGATGTTTTTAAATGAGGACTTCATAAGCTCTTTGTTTTTCAAATAGATTTAAGATTTCCTGTGGTTAAAGTCAAACTTTACCTCTTTATCTAATAAAGAAAATATTATAAATCAAAGTATTTTCTCATGCCTAATACTTAATAAGTATATTCTCTTTTCTACTTATTATCCCTTTTGTTTTTATTATAGATCAACGTAAGAGTAACTACAATGGACGCTGAGCTGGAATTTGCCATTCAGCCCAATACAACTGGCAAACAACTTTTTGACCAGGTATTATTTAACCACATGAAGTATGCAATTTTTGACACCGTAGTGTGGATGCTATTCTATACTTTTTATGTTTTTCTGTACCTTTATTAAGAATCCAACAAAGTAGCATTGGAATTTTTCATATTACCTATTCTGATATCTTGAACAGCAATAGGGATATTCTTTATTGTATTAATTCCTACATTTGTGGGAAAGGACTTTTAAACAAATAATTATCAGCAGGTACATGTGCTATGAAAATCATTGTGATGACAACTAAACAGGAATTCAAAGATATTCTACATAGTCCTTGAGTGGAATGAGTAGAAGTCCTAGACAGAGGGGACAGCAGGAACAAAGTCCTAGGGAATTACAGGTTGGGCATCACTTATCCAAAATGCTTGGGACCAGAAGTATTTCGGATTTTGGATTGTTTTCAGGGTTTGGAATATTTGCATGTATATAATGAGATATCTTGGAGATGGCACTTAAGTCTAAACACGAAATTCATTTGTGTTTCATATACATCTTATACACATAGCCCAGGGGTATTTTTATAATATATTTTAAATAATTTTGTACACAAAACAAAAGTTTTGACTAGGACTCAGCGTGTGAGGTCAAGTGTAGAATTTTCTACTTGTGGTATATCATGTTGGTGCTCAACCAGTTCCGGATTTTGGAGGATTTCAGATTTTGGATTTTTGGATTAGGGGTGCTCAACTGACAACATTTTGGTGTCATAGGTACATAATGTGCTAGGCAGGGGTTATGGCATGGAGGTCTCAGGTATGATGTCTTAAGAAACTCGGACTACTGATCTTGTCTTTTGTTCTGAGTCTCAAATGCACGTTGTAGTCACCTGTGGAGCTTAAAAAAGACCATGCTTGGTAACTTCTTCCCAGAGATTCTGATTTAATGGGTTAGGCCTATTTTAAACCATCAATATTTTAAAACTTAAGCTCCCCAGTTAATGCTGTATTGTAATATTGTAACTAATCCAGTTTTACTGAGAAAAAGAGGAAAGAAATTGTCCCCAGAGGTCAGGTAAAAAGGTGAGGAGATGATTGCAAAGAGAGAAGAAAGTGATGTAGCTTTACATGCCATGAGACTTAGAGGAGGATAACTTCTACATAAACTTTATTAAACTTTTCCTTAGGAACAGGAGAGCAAATGTTTATAGTCAGACTGACTTGATCTTAAAGAATGAGAGAGATTCTAGCATGACAACAATAATATGTTAGATATCTTTGTTTTAGTAGATGTCATTCTATCACATACTGATAAAATCTGATGAAATAAAAATTTTAAATTGCTGGAGTGTTATGTCTTCTCTTGATAAGTAGTATACTTAATCTCCTGTTTAGGTAATTAATGAACTTTTAAAGCCCTGATGAGGTCTTTATGGAAGATGAAAGGCTTTTTTTGTGCGTATAAGCAAATTTTTAAAGCAAACTCAGTAAGCAGCTAAATGTACCCATACCTCGTAACTAATATCCACTTCTGTTGATTCTTCTAGGCTTTGTTTACTTCTAGACTAATCTTGTTATTCCTATAGGTCATGATGGTAGGTAAGAAGGAAAAGGTATGAAAAAGTAGATCATGTAAGAGGATTGAAGTGACGCAAAATTGAATATAAAAAAACCTGAATTTAAGTTTTCAGAAATGTTCCCTTAATATATTAGGAAAGACCTTTCTTGTGGCAAAGGAATGAACATGGAGTGAATATACCTATACCTATGTAGTTTTGTTCTTCTTTTGAAGTATAGTGTCATCTAGGTACAGTGTGAATGTTAAACTGAAATGGATTTTTTTTTTTTTCTTTTTAGGTGGTGAAAACAGTTGGTTTGCGTGAGGTCTGGTTTTTTGGGCTGCAGTATGTAGACAGCAAAGGTTATTCTACATGGCTTAAACTAAATAAAAAGGTAAAATATATGATAAGATTAAGCTAATAATTAAGTTAAAATTATCATGAATTTTTGCTGGAAAAGCTAAGAGTCTGATTCCAAGCCTCCTTTTGCAGTTATCTGTGTTAATCATTAAGAGGTGTCATGTCTTTTAATTCAGTTAGACACCACCAGCTTACCATCTTAGAAAAAAGACATGCTCACTTTTCCTGTTTGAAAACTTATAGCACATAAGAAATATTATCTTAAAGCAAGTATGATGTGATGTATGGTGTGATTAAGTACTTTGACCTTGATTTAAACATATGTAAGATATGCTTCTCAAAAATATGAAGAGAAGTTTTCAGTTTGGTTATAAGATAGACTCTGTAAGTTACAGGTCACATTCCTGGGCATAGAATCTTTTTTCTCACATATATTAATATTTGTTTACAGACTTAAAATATCACACACTAGATTCTTTCTTATAGATTTAGAATCTTCTATTTCACTTTCTCCCAAAAAGAATTTGATATGGCTAGGTTCAATTATTATAAACTTAAGATTTTTGTTGATTATACTTGAAATTATTATTCCAGGTAACACAGCAAGATGTTAAAAAAGAGAATCCTTTACAATTCAAGTTTAGAGCTAAATTCTTTCCTGAAGATGTTTCTGAGGAATTAATTCAAGAAATAACCCAGAGACTTTTCTTCTTGCAAGTTAAAGAAGCCATCTTAAATGATGAGATATATTGCCCACCAGAAACTGCAGTTCTTCTTGCTTCCTATGCTGTCCAAGCCAAGTATGGAGATTATAATAAAGAGATTCATAAACCAGGCTACCTGGCTAATGATAGACTCCTACCCCAGCGGTAAGTGATACTTATGTTATCTGAAACTTAAATTCCAGAGGTTTGCAAATAGAAAATTTTTTTTTTTGAGATTTTATGTTACCAGTTGGATCAGAGATATTTTTAAAAATCAGGACTTAGCAGCTACTTAGATTTGTATGTTCTATAATTACCTGTAGTTGATCTACCTCTTCCCTCCTAATTCTCATAGAGTAGGCAATAAATGGAAGCAGTGATAATTTGGCCTGAGGGAAAGATGTGACTGTTGCAGCTTAGTATAAATTCTAACACAGGCAGATAGGTGCTTAATAAATGCTTTTGAGAATAAGTGGGCATGCTATATGTTTTCTCCATAAATTAAGTTTCTAATTTTAAAAAAAGGTGTTTTTATTTGGTTTTTGTTTTTAAGAGACAGGATTTGCTTTGTTGCCCAGGCTGGAGTGCAGTGATATGATCATAACTCACTGCAGCCTTGAACTCCTGGGCTCAAGCAATCCTCCTGCCTCAGCCTCTTGAGCAGCTGAGAGTACAAGGTGTGCACCACCATGCCTGGCTAAAAAGGCTTTTAAAACTAGGTTTTCAGACTCCTAGGCCACTGCTCTACTCTTATTTGCAGTGCATTGCTGCCTCTGTAACAATTATTTTAAAAATATGGCATAGGAAAAAATCATTAGATTTTGAATACTAATTCTATCTTTTACTAGTTATATGACCTTAGGTACATAACCTAAAATTTCTGAGCCTCAGTATCTAAATCTGCAAAGTGGGGATAGTAATTCTGCTCTGCCTACCTTCCAGTTTATGATTATAATTCTTGAACTGTATGTTTATAGTTTTAACTGTAAAGCATGGTACAAGTCCTATTTGTTAGTAGTATTTGTGAAATCTAGAAAATATAACATCAAATATAATTTTTAAATATCTTCTTAATTTGGGTTATACACATGTCCCTGACGTACATTAAGATCTTTCTTCTAGAACCTGGAGAGAGGTTGTTACTATTCTTAGTCCAAATTCCTGAATATTAATATTTCTATTTAAACACAAAACTATATATTATTATTGACTTAAGATTTCAGTTTTGTGCCATTTCCTCATAGTATTTAAACTCTTAGGTATAGTTTCTTTTCATGGTTACTAAAGAAGAAAGACAAAATTACATCATGTCCACTTTTATTTTCCTTTGTAGGCATTAATGTTTATTTTGGCTAATAAATGTATTACTTGTTGATATATGCTTTATAAGTTACCACACGTAAAATAGCTTTAAAATTAGATTATTAAATGTCATGTGTTCTGCCTTTTAATATTACAATAATAATAGTTACCTTGGGAGAAGGTAGAATAATCCATGTTTTCACCAAGAGAATCAGGAATATAAAATATTTGTTAGTCTGTTTATATTCTTCTGGTTTTGGTTATTATTCTAACTTAAAATCCTTTGTTTCCAATTTTTTTTTTTAAAGAGACAGTCTCGTTCTGTTGCCTAGGCTAGCGTGATGGCGTGATCATAGCCCACTGCAGCCTGGAATTCCTGGGCTCAAGTCATCCTTCCACCTCAGCCTCCCACGTAGCTAGGATTACAGATATGCACTGCCATGCCTGGCTAACTTTTTTTAAAAAAATATTTTTAGTAGAGATGGGGTCTCAATATGTTGCCCAGGCTGGTCTTGAATTCAAGCAATCCTCCTGCCTTGGCCTTCCAAAGTACTGGGGTTACAGGCATGAGCCACCACACCTGGCCCCTTTGTCTCAATATTGTTTAAAGCACTGAGTTGAGTAATCAATGACTAGTACAGTAGAATTTCATTTCAGATAAGGATTAGCTTTTAGTTTAATTGAGGTATAATTTATATATATTAAAATGTATAGCATATTAGGTTTTAAGTCAGTACATAATACAAATTTTTGAAATCAAAATCACCCTTAAAAATTTCTTAAATGTTCATAAGAGATTATACATGCTTTATCTCAAATACAGTATAAATAGTTCTTTCAGTGTAAGATCACATTGCTGTTTAGTTGAGCAGCAGATGAAGTATATGGCATACATTTAGTAACTGATGTGATTAAAAAATCTTTTAAACAACAGAATCACACTTTAGTTTAAATTTAATTTCTTTATTTAAAATGCATATCGGATCAACACCTAAGTGGACATATAGGAATAACATTTATCGGGTGTCTGGCAGGTGGGAGGGGGGAGGAGGGGATGGGTATATACAAACATAATGAGTGAGATGTGCAATGTTTGGGGGATGGTCACGCTTGAAGCTCTGACTTGGGGGAGAGAGGCATGGGCAATATATATAACCTTAACATTTGTACTTCCATAATATGCTGAAAAATAAATAAATAAAATGCATATATACTTTAACCTACCCTTTTAATAAAAAGGAAGATAACAGAAGTGCTTTAGAGAGGATTGCTGTGGTTGCTGATGCAAATGCTCTTCAAGATTTGGTCCTTAATTTAGCAGGTCAGATGTTCTTCCAGAGTTAATAGTCTACGGAGGACTAATTAAATTCAGAATACTAATTTTTTGGTTTAGAATGGAGAAAATACCTTCACAGTGATAGGCTTATTTCATGTTTGGTATATAGCACACTTTTTCTCAATACCTAAGTACAACTTGAGGGTGGGGGGGAATGAGTAATTAGAGGGTTATTTGGTTATAATAAATCAGACAAAATAATTTGATGCTTCTGATGTATTCTCAATTCTTATATTGAAAAACCCAGATGAACAGTCTATTCTACAGTAGAGTTTAGCTCCCTGGTAATAAATATAATCAGCTCCCCCAGATAGTATTGCTTTCCTTTGAAAAGAGCTAGATATACATACATTTTTACATGCCAGGTGTATGACTTGGGCAGCTGGGTAATACCTTTTGTCAAGATAATGGAAAGAAGAAAATACATTTGAGAGAAAGATGAACTCAATTTTTAACCTATTGAATTTGAAATAGATATATTATAATGAAGAGAGAGATCTAGTATTCATTTGTATATGTGAGTACCGATATTTTAGAGCAGTCTTGGACTATACTATGGGGAAAAATCAGCAAATATATGGTAATTAACCCATGGGAATGAAAGAGATAGACCTGAAAGTACATGTAAAGAGAAAGACCTAGGACAGACCTTGTTGGATCTCAACTCTTAAGTATAGAGGAAGAGGCTCCTGTAATATATAAGGTTGGTCCTCTGTGTCTGTGGGTTTTACAATCGTGGATTGAAAATATTAGAAAAAATTTAAAAAATACAAAAATAAAAATAATACAAATTTAAAAACTATATAGTATAACAACAATTTACATAGCATTTATATTTATTAGGTATTATAAGTAATATAGAGATGTTTAAAGTACATAGGAGAATAAATATAGGTTATTTGCAAATATTACACCATTTGATGTCAGAGGCTTGAGCATCCACAGATTTTTGATATCCACAGGGAGACCTAGAACCACTCTCTTGGATATGGAGGGACAACTGTATTGAGAACAAATGGCCAGAAATTCAAGAATAATACCAGAGGATTATTATATCACGGAAGTGAAATTAAAGGAATTCTTTCAGGAGAGAATAGCACCGTCAGATAGTACGAAGAGGTCAAATACGAGGACTAAAGTGATAAAGAGATTTGTAGTGACCTTAGTAAGAGCAGTTTCAGTAAAGTTTTGGGGGTTGAAGCCAGATTGTGGTGGATTGGGGGCAGTGGATGTCAGGTATGGAAATTGAGGTTAGTGCATATGGACAGCCCTTAACCACTTCGGTATGAGCGTTGACTATAGTCGATAGCCACAGATGAACATGCACAGCCAAGCCTCGACTTCAGCCGACAGCCGTGGTATGAAGGTGCACAGCCGAGCCTCGACTTTAGCCGACAGCCGTGGTATGAAGGTGCACAGCCGAGCCTCGACTTTAGCCGACAGCCGTGATATGAAGGTGCACAGCCGAGCCTCGACTTTAGCCGACAGCCGTGGTATGAAGGTGCACAGCCGAGCCTCGACTTTAGCCGACAGCCGTGGTATGAAGGTGCACAGCCGAGCCTCGACTTTAGCCGACAGCCGTGATATGAAGGTGCACAGCCGAGCCTCGACTTTAGCCGACAGCCGTGATATGAAGGTGCACAGCCAAGCGTTGACTTTAGCATTAATAACAAAACTGGATTTTTCTAATTTTTCATTTATCAAAATAAAATTGTGAACATTTAAAAATAACGTAATAAAAACATATATGTATATGTTACCTATTCTGATTTACATTACAAGTAAAGCTGCCTGTAAAGTAAAACAAGCTTTCAGTGCTTTAAAGCTTTTCTGATCATATAAGAGCAAAACGGATTCGTCGTCAATGCATAGCACAAACTATCGTGCGGACTATGAGTGCCAGCTGTGGGCAAGGTTTCGCCGCCAGTGAGTGCCATACCGAAGTAGTTAAAAGAAGTTTGGCTATGAAAAAGAAAGAAAAAAAACCACAAAAAACTAGGGTTTGGGAAGCATGGGTTTCTAGACTTGTTCTTTAAAAGAGGGAAAATTTGATAGTTTTAATGTATTTATTCACTCTTAAAATTTTTGAGTACTTGTTTAGTGCTGGCACTGGGAATATAATGGTGAACAATTGACTGCATTATGTTATGCATCTGAGGCTGATTGCATGCAACTCAGTGAGCCCAGAGGCCAGACAGCAAGAGAGTACACAGACAAGAAAAATTTGGAAACCTGAATGCTTTAGGAGAAAGATAAAACTCTTCTCCCAAAAAAGCATGAGCTTGAAAGAGTATGAATAGAGAAAAGAGCAGAGTGTAATAAGAACATAATGGTCTACCTGAGACCCCATTAAGGACTCTAAGTAGTATATAATCTGTCCAGCAGAAAAGTTCATCCTAAGATTCCTGTATACTGCCAAGAAGTTCCTGAGTTTCATGCAAAATTTTTATGCAGTAAAACAATAACATTTTAACACTGTAGCTTTTGCCATCCGCAAAGTAGGATCTGGGGAGTCATCAGTAGAGAAAGGTAGATAATTATCAGATGACCCAAAGAGAATGGATATCATAATCTATAGGGTGAATAGCAGGTAAATTATATTTATAAGCATGTTGACTTTGCTGATTTGGTGTTAAAATATTAGTAGTAGAAAATAAGAATGTTTGTATTTGCTTACATTTGAATAAGGAACACTAGAAGGGTACAAAAAAATCAGAAATTATTTGGGGGGCATCGACTTACCACTGTATACATTTTTATTGAAAGTATTGCCTACATAAAACAGATATTACCTACGTAAAACAATGAATTAGTAGCAAAAACACTAAATACATAGAATAAAGGAAGAATTAGGGCCCTTGAATTCTGGTTTTCAATCTGTTCTTTAATTTTTCTATTAATGAGAAAGCCATTTGGGCCCAATATTTTATTCACTTGAAGTATTTGGATTCCCATAACTATGTTTATAATAACTATTTTTAAAATGTGTTATTTAAAATAATTTAGGGATCCTAGAAACTTTTTGTTTTGATATTGATTATTCAGATGCAGTTATAAAAAAATAATAGATCCTATGTGTCCTTCTCCCAGTCTCCTCTAATGATAATATCTTTGATAACTATAGTAAGATATTGACATTGATACAATCTACCCACCTTATTCAGATTATAAATGTTGTCTGTACTCATCTGTGTATGTATTTAGTTTTATGCAGTTTTATCATAAGTATTAATTTGTATGACAGCTATCACAGTCAAACTACAGAAAGGATTCTGAACTTTTTAAAAAATAATGATTTTGAATCATAAAGGCATTATGATAGATTTTTTTTTTCCCTTTTAGTGTATTGGAGCAACACAAACTAACAAAAGAACAGTGGGAAGAAAGAATACAGAACTGGCATGAAGAACATAGGGGAATGCTAAGGTATTTGGGTAGCTATATTCTATGTGTTTTTCCTCAAAGTATTTTTATTTCATAACATTTATTATTACATTAAAGTATCACCAAAAGATCATTTGACTTATATGATTAAAGCACTATATTTGAATTCAAGGTATTTTTGCAATTTTAGTTGATATTTAGATACTCCAACTTAAATATATTAATTTAGTTTTATTTCAATAGGGAAGATTCTATGATGGAATACCTAAAGATTGCACAAGATCTGGAAATGTATGGAGTCAACTATTTTGAAATAAAAAATAAAAAGGGAACTGAATTGTGGCTTGGTGTTGATGCTTTGGGTCTGAATATTTATGAGCATGATGACAAGTAAGTAAACTAGTTGTGTAGTGAATAGATCATTATTTAGTAGTCTAAATGGCTTTAATCTTCTGTAAAAGTTGTTTCTTGTCTTGATTACCCTTACTGCTTTTTTCAGATTAAAAGATTAGTTAATGCCACATAGACTTTTAGATATTGTATTTCCATTTTCTTAGCCCCTTATGGTTTCAGAGTTCTATTTTCAGTGTATTTATCAAATGGGGATGATTTACTTTTATTTGAGGCATGCTGCTTTGGCTCTTGTGAGTTATATCTAGTAACTTAATTAAAATGTGTCCCCTCAATAGGTTAAGGAAGAATAATTCCTTAAATGTTGTTATGTCTGAAAAATAGATTGAAATGTGTAAAAAATCAGGAGCAATGAGAGAGTGAAATTAATGTATGTTTATTATCTTTTAGGACATTTTTAAACATATAGGAATTGTTTTGAATATTTCTGGACATTGATAAATACAATATCCCTATAGAATACATAGTGAACGGTATAATTATATTTTGAATCAACCAGTTATTTATTATACATATATATAATTCAATAGTATTGTATTATATATATAGTATGATATAAGAGATATTAGACTCTTATAGCACTTTTCAGGAATAGTAGCTATTATAATTGCCTTATACCTCTCTTTAATTTACTTATCATACCACATAAGCATTCAAGTCTGTGCCATAATGCCTTCTCCTACAGCATTATTCTTTATTCTGGGTTGGCTCCAGAATTTTAGCTTTTATTATTACAGATAATCTACTAAACTATTAATTTCAAGGCATATATAATGACTTCAAAAGAAAACATTTTACTAATTTTACACTAATATTTTCTCAAGCTTAATATTACAAACAAGTTAGAATGCTCTATCATTCAGAAGAGAAAATTTTAAAAGTTTTGAAAAAGTAAAAATGTGTTCTAGACTAATTTTTGTGGACTGAATCCTTTTCTTTCTTTTAAAAGTTATCGTATTCATTTTCAGGCTCACTTCACAAAATTGTGAGAATTATGAGGCAATTGCTTTAGAATTTTTCAAAGTAGCATTTAAATGCAGTACAGTATATTACCTTAAAAAATACCATGTAGTGTTACTGCAGTCTCCTTTTAAAGCAGGTTACTTTGACTTATCTCAGTGGGTGGCAGTATAACACATGCATCTTGAGTAAAGAATGTTTTATATAGAAAAAATTGTTTGCTGTTTTGAAGTACCTAGTCAGCTTTAGAATTAAAAAGAATATAAATAGGTAGAAATTCATGTTATGCTATCAGAAACCTGACTAAAAGGTGTCTTTTAGCCAGCAGAGGTGTCACAGTCATTTTTCACTCTTGCTATAGGACAACTGATGCATTTGATGGATAGTCTGAAACAGTAAAATATAGGAAAAAGCAGAAGCAAAATTACTTAGTCCAATCTGATACACTATATCTTTGTGTATAGGATGGTAAAAAGGAGGCAATTGCAGTATAATCTTAAGAGTCTGAATTCCAGCTCTACCATTTATCCAAACATTTATGTATGTGTTTTAAAATTGTTTTTTTGAAAAATAATTCACATACCATAAAATCTTAAAGTGTACTGAAAATTAATTATTTTTAGTAAATTCACAAATAACCAAACTTTTTTTTCCCTCCCCACCAAACTAAGTCCTTAGGACTTTTTTTTTTTTGGTGAGATAGGGTCTTGCTCTGTTGTCTAGGCTAGAGTACAGTGGCGTCATTATAGCTCACTGTAACCTCATATTCCTGGGCTCAGGTGATCCTCCTGCCTCAGCCTCCTAACATATAAGGATTACAGGCATGAGCTACCACCCTGGCCCCAAATATTTTTAAATAGAGGAAGAAAATAATTTTTTTTCTAGTAACTTATGTCCATAATTCACATGAGAAGTTATAAAGGCCTTCTTTTTTCCCCCTTCCTTCTTAAACATATGTAAACTGACAGTTGTAGTAGCTTGAGACCAAACAGAATAAAAACTAAATAGAGGTAGTGCAAACCCCAAGAAGCTCAGTTCTACATTCTGGTCACCAGTTTTTTTTTTTAAAGATAATTTTAGGAAAAAAAACTATAATGCTTTTAAGATTCATGAAATATTTATGCAATGTTTGAAATTGTTTTATGATTTAATTTATCAAATTTCCCTTTAAAAGGTAATGTCAACTGTGTGTTATAAGTAAGTTAATACATTTTGAAAATCTGAAACTATTATGACTGCTCAGTCATTCAGCTAAACTGGACCCAGAAAGTTGTTATGAATATTGTCCATTGTTTCCTGCCTTTAATTAAAGAGATGCTCTCATTTTTTAAGGTTAACACCTAAAATTGGTTTTCCCTGGAGTGAAATCAGAAATATTTCATTTAATGACAAAAAATTTGTTATAAAGCCAATTGACAAAAAGGCACCTGTAAGTAAAATTTTAAAATATGTTTTATATATTAATTCTTTAAATATCTACTACTTTCCTATAGTGTCACTTGAAAAATGGCATTGTTCATTCATCGGTTGCTTCTGATTAACATTCTCTTTCTACAGTTCAACTTTTCCAGTGATAAAATAATGTCATTCAAAGTACAAGATTTTAATTTTTATAAGATAAATTAGAGTTTTATTTTAACTGAGATTCAGTTATAAGGTAGTTAATATTTATGAGGAAGTCACTGAAGATAATCACCATTCCTAAGAAGCAATTAAAAAAAATTTGTTCGTTGGTGGCTAAAATGTGGTAGAGCTTAACCCTATTCTAAATTAATTCTGTTATATATTAATACTTTGTTATGAGCTTTTTATTTTTGTAACTTTAAGACTTGAACTTAAATCTTTTTATTTTAAATCGATTTTTAAAATTCCTCTAGTATCATGTACAGTCTAGTATTCTAACTCTGTTAGTTATTGAAAAAATAAAAAATAAGAAGAACATTTCTAGGTTAGAAAAGATTCAACAGTCATTAACAAAGGACCAGTTTTGGCATCAATGGCAAAAGGCAAAACAAACCGAAAAAACCTCCTACTCTGAGGCATAAAGATAGAATAAATGACGTCTACTGTATTGATAGGATAAGAATGTTAGCCTCTTTACAAAACTGGTGGGGCATGAAAAGGTAAGGAACCAGTTATGTGAAAGTATGTCATACTTGCTAGGAGTTATGAAATTTTATGGTTTCTAAACTGCATGTAGTATACATCAGAACTCATACCTCATGCTGAAATTTTTAGTACAGATTGTTGTGAGAGACACTATCCTTCAGGAAGATTTTAAGTTCAGAATATTTTATGTTTAGGATTTTGTTTTTTATGCACCCCGTCTGAGAATCAATAAGCGGATTTTGGCCTTATGTATGGGAAACCACGAACTGTACATGCGAAGAAGGAAGCCTGATACTATTGAAGTACAGCAGATGAAGGCTCAGGCCAGGGAAGAGAAACATCAGAAGCAGTTGGAAAGGTATGGAATTTATAGCCTTTCATTTTTAATTGATAGAAATAGGATATCTAAAATTTTACTGCTCAGTTTCTTTAACATAACTCTACATTTTTATGTTATTTTCATTGTACTAAAGTTGAAAGACAACATTATCACTCTTACTTTAAAACAAGTATATATATATTAATAATTTTCAAGTTAGAAATTTTTGACAGCTATTTCTGAGAAAATAGCTTTTCATGCCTTTATAAATGTGCTTCCCTTTTATTGTGTTTGCTTTTCACTGACCGACATTGTTTTGGATAAAGCAGCTTGAAATATTTGAATTTGTTTTGCTTGTTACTTACATTTCTTAATTTTTCAAGGTAGGCATGTGCTGAATATTTTACTTTGAAAAACGTTAGTGAAATCATAGAACCCAACTGAAAAGTCACTTTGCAGAGTAGGATAACATCAGCACTCCCTGCCAAAGATAATAATCTTTTTAACTGTATTTCTCTTAGATTTAAAAAAGATGCTGTAAAACATATTAAATTGAGAGTTTTAAAATTGGAATGATATTGAATAAAATCCTTATTGACTCTAGAATCAGGTTACTGCCTCTAGCAATATAATTCTGGAATCTGATTCTAGATTAATTTAAACTTTGTGCTTTATTTGAAAAGTTTTAGAGACCAAACTAATGTTAACTTTTGTTGAAGTCTTTATAGAGCAACGTTATGATCTAAGAAATAGAGTAGGTCCTTTAAAAAAATCAAGGAACACAAAACATGTATTTTACACATACTGGATATAACATAATTTGTATCTAGTAATTAAGTAGGCCTTCAGCTAGATATGACTTTGGTACAATATTTTTAAGGTTTGCATTCACTGATTTTTTTTCTTAAATGTTCTGTGTAATTTGGATATTTTATTGATTTTACTTATTTTATAATATTAACTCACACTATCTGCCTTAGAGAAGTTAACTGCATAACAGAACATTTGTTATATGGGCGTGAAGCTTTTCGGTAATTACTGATACCATTGTTAAGGATACTAAGTTGGATTGTTATTATACTTTGACTGGACTCTCCTTTTTTACTGCTGTTGTGTGCCTTACGATTACATTGTGGTGACCCCATCTCTATAAAAAATAAAATTAGCCAGGTGTAGTGGCATGTACTTGTAATCCTAGCTACCTGGGAGTCACAAGGATTATTTGAGCCCAGGAGTTAGAGGCTACAATGAGCTATGATCGTGCAACTGCACTTGAGCCTGAGTGACAGAGTAAGACCCTGTCTCAAATAAATAAATAAGTAAGTAAATACACTTTCTATATAGTATATTCTTACCATTCATAGCCTTTTATCTTCCTGTCTCAAAGGGAAAACTTTTTATAATCTGTAGCAAGACAATCTTTTCCCCCAACTTGCTTGTGACCAGGTTACTTTCAGTCTTTTTATCTGCTTCCATATCTCCTTCACCTCCATCTCTGAAGAAAAGCAAATGAAGTTAAATAAAATCAATAACCATCCGCAGAAGGAATCCAGCCAAAGCTGGATCTGGAAGGTTCTGAATTGATGGAGTATGATTGTAGCCTTCAGGTCTTGAGATCTGGTTTGCAGTGTTCATTCTTGAGAAGTGTCTTGGGGTCTTAGGTAGTGATGGAGGAAGATAGCTGTCTTGGGGAATTGTGGTGGCACTGCGTATAAATGCACAGAGGCTGGTGCGTAGTTGGAATAGGCTAATCAACATTCTAGGGTAGCACACAGCCTGGTGTGGAAAAGAGTAGCTTTGGCTGTACTAGCAATTACTTGAAAAGTACTGTGCTTTTACTTTCATGGAGAACCTGATGTTTTAACTATCTAAAGAACACAGATAGGGCAGCAGCTTCCGTGAGGGCCGTCAGGTTCTTTTGTCCAAGGAAGTTGGGCAAACATTCCCTTAAGTTCATGTCTTCCAGAGGAGTGGAAGCTTCCAACTCTTTAAATCTCTTTGCCTGTATATGCTTGATAAATTGAAATAGGATAAGGAGAAAGAGGTGAATGTCCTGAGGGTGACCCCAGGTCTGTGGGCAGGGTATACTTACTGGCTTTCTTTCCTTACTGTTGAGAAAGTACCTCATAGGGAACTCAAGAACAGAAGTGGAGTTCTGCTTGCATGAATGGGCTCCAGGCCCTAGGTTCTTAAATGATGGGAGGATTCATTAAATCAGCAGGGAGGTATGGTGACCCTTAAACTTTGTTTTGGTGTGGTGTGCTAGGTGGTCACCATCAGTGTCTGTTTGACCTCTGACTGACTTGTGACAACTCTGATGCAAAGCTGTACTCTCTTTCTGTGTTAGGGGCAGATGGTATATGTTAGGAAGCACAGGAATTTTAAAATTTAGGTTTATAAAGTAAGGGAAACAGCTTTGATAGTAAACTTTGCTGATGAGTTTATGCGCAACTGAAAGTTGAGAAACTACATGGTTTTGTGCTTGAAATTCAGAATTGACACCAGGTGGCAGTGATGTCTTTTTGTGGAACATTCAGGCACACCCAGATAAATTTCAGAGATGAAATCATGATTGATTTCTTAACTAAGATAAGAAAATTATTCTTATTGAAGTAGTTATTTGAGTATTGATTAAACTTATCAAGTAGAAAATATTGTCTGTTAACACAATTTCTCATTTCACTTTTATTCCTTTGTATAAATTTGGCCACCAACATGGAGTCTGATCTAAGTATGGTAGGCTGTTGGTAGATGTTTAATGAATGAATTTGGCTATATTTAAAAGAAACAGTCTCATCAGGCAGGTGCAGCTAAATGATTGAGGCATTCTTTCCTACTGAGCTCTGATAATCTTTTTTAATAGTGTTAGCCACTTACTGTCATTCTAGTGGAATTGTCAAAGGAGGCGAAACTGATTTTGTCACCTTTATCTAGGCATAAATGGGTATGACCCAAGAAATAAAACTTGTATTAAATCATTTTTAATGATTAAAAATTGTTGCCCTACCCAGTCATTTTCCTGTTTTAAGATACTTGGCATTGTGTGCTCTCTTCAAGCCTTTGTTATTTCTCCAGTGGAGGGATCCTGCCAATCTAAAAAAGGCATTTTCTTGGGGTATAGCAACCGTGTGGTTACTTTTTGGTGTGACATATAATTTGTTCTCAGAATTCATCCTGTATGCGCCTTAATATGTTTTGTATACTGGTATGTATTTGACAGTTATACTTTCCTAACAGTTTTGTAAACTTGTCCTTTGAGAATCTTCCTAAGATGTCTGAGTTTTTAATATTTTTAAAAATAGGTATCAGTTGTCTTTATTGTGACCCCACTGTAAGAAATACATTGGAACCCAGCACATGTGTGTACACAATGAGCGTATGTAACAGCATAGTCCTGTATTTTTAACCATACCCTATTTTGAACACAAGCGAATATAATGAAAGCCTTGTTAAAATATTTATGCTGTAGTTTCTTAGTTGATTCGCAGTAGTTAGATTTCACATGAATAATATTTCTGTCTAATTATTTTGTAACATAGCAATTGCAATTCCTTTTAAGGGCACAATTAGAGAATGAAAAGAAGAAAAGAGAAATAGCAGAAAAGGAAAAGGAAAGAATAGAACGTGAAAAGGAAGAGCTAATGGAACGTCTAAGGCAAATTGAAGAACAGACATTGAAAGCCCAGAAAGGTAAAAGTTTCTTTTGACAGCAAATTCAAAATTATTGCTCTGTTGTCACGTAGTAGCATTTTCTTGCTTCTGTTAAATCTTATTTGTGTTATGTAGGATTGTATTATGTAAATTGTATGTAGGATTGTGTTATGTAAATTGTATTTAATTGCTAAATTAATACTTAATGGAATCACATCATAAACATGTTTAAAGCACATTCAGTTTTACAGTGCTCATGTTCTTTGTCTTTAATTTACTTAAACATGAAAATATTTTTTATGTGTACTTTTTAAATACTGTAAATGACTATGTGTATTAATGTATACCATTACTGTTCAGGGTTCCATAAGCAAAAAACAAATACTTTATGGCATTTTTAAAAAAGCATTTATGCACTGCTTTATGGACATTTAAACACTTCAAGGCATTTAAGTAATTTAAAGCAATTTCAACTATTCTGACTACATAAACTTTTCCTCAACTCCTAAAAAAGATTTGATTTTAATGTATTAGAAAATACACAACAGATAGACATGTTATGTTTTTTGTTTGTTTGGGGTAACATATTTGGAAGAACTTCTTAGGCAGTATATAATCAAAGTGCTACAGTATATAGAAAGGATACACTGGATTTATAATGTGTGGCTTATATTAACTTTATACTAGTTTCACACAGCAAATAGTGGCAAGAACAAGAAAAAAATATTGCGCAAAATAAAATGTTTTGCCTCTTAGTAGCATCATAGGGGGTGGATAATGTGAAATCTACACTGTTTATAAAACTAGATTTAATACCTGCTTTCTAACAACTAGTAGAACCAGCTACTCACTTCTGTTAGTGATAGCCAATACAGATTGAATATCTCTTATCCAAATGCTTGGGACCAGAAGTGTCTAGGATCTGGGATTTTTTTCAGATTTTGGGATATTTGTGTAGTCTGGTCAATTGTGCTGAGTCTAAACAATCTGAAATCCAGAGATTTCCTTTGTGCATCATATTGGCACTCAAAAAGTTTTAGATTTTGGAGCATTTCAGATTTCAGATTTTTGGATTAGGGATAATTGTGGTCTTATAAGGTTTATTTTCACTTCTTACACCAGCCTACCATGGGGGGAGATGGTTCCACCAGTAGGGGATAGTTGCAAGAGGGTAGGTAGAGGGGGAAGTCACAAAGATTACTATAAATCCACAAGTTGGTGATCATTTCAACTGCAGGAGGCTTGGAAATAATATTTCTAAGAGGAAAAATAGAAAAGTCTGGGCTTTGTTCTTACTCATTAGAAGACTCACCCTCGGAGCTATGAAAGACCTAGAAACTAATTTATTTCAAAGCCCAAGAGTAGTAAAGTATTTGCAGGCCACAACTTGGGTAGAACTTGTTTCCTGAATTCCAACTTGATGCTGTTTCTACCACTCTAGGTGCCCTTTGCATCATCAAACAGGCATTTTTGAAATGGCTACTTTGTGCTGCATTCTAGGAATACAGATATATAGCATACATGGCAGTGAAGTCTGTATAGTTGGCAGAAATATATACATAAAAATATTAATAAAGAGATAATATATACAAAGTCTCGTGTGTACTATAAGCAGTACTTTTGGAGGAAGAATGCTATAAAAAACCTGGGTTGTACTAAAGTAGCTAAAGTAACATTTGTGATTCTAATCTGATTTGTAAGAAAAGGTTAAATCATAGCATTTTATCATTTATATAACACCTTTTCTGAGAAAATAGTTGCTTACTAAATCTTTTCATCTCATTTATTTAGGATGTATAATAAAAATATTAATGATTTACATACAGAAAACTACTCAAAGAAGCACTAAAGAATATAAGGAAGATAGAATATAAGAAAGAATATAGAGCATCCCTATCAAGACAATTTCAAATCAGTCATCTAAGGCAAAGGACATCCAATTTGATGTTAAATTTTTTTTTCTAATAAAGCTGTCCCAGGTTGTCTTAAAAATCTACATGATTGTCTTGTAATTTATACTAAATCTTCATTTGAATGCAGTAACTTTGGCCATATCTAGTTGTGATATTTAGTAGATTCACCTATAATTTTTGTTTGAGAAGAAACTTTTTTATACTTCATTATTGTCCTTTTAAAAAAGTTTTCTATTGAAATCATTATTATTTCAAATGAATCATTAAATAGAACCATTTGTCCATTTTACATTTTTATAATGTATGATTGTTAAATTATTTATCTTCATTTTTTAACCATCTTGAAGATATATTGGTGATGATATATGAGATAAAATAGAGCCAGACCTGCAGTCAGTTACTGTTCCAACAAATATTGAAGTGAATTCCATCTTCAAAAAAGAAAAACATAGACAAGAGTTAGTCTAATGATTGCATTCATTCTGGATACTTGTTAAATACCTTGTGGGTACTATGTACTATTCTGGGTGTTGAGGATACAGTATTGAATAGATAAGGTTCCTGTTCTCATGGAGCTCACATTTTATTGTGAGAAGATAGATTAACATAATAAACAAATAATAAAATTATTTTATGCAGTTTTAAGTGCTGTGAAGGGAAATAAGCATGATAATGTGATAAAAGCAGTAGTTGTAGGTAGATGGTAGATACCCACTTTGGATATACATTGTTTACAATTAGGAACAAAGCTTTAATTCTATCATTAACTTGAAATCTGACTATAAGCAAGTCATTTTTACTTCTCAGTTTCCTTAGGTTCCTAATTTCTAAAATGGAAATAAATAATCCTAACTTCACATTCTGAAATTTAAAAAAAAACTATAGTTATATTTTTAAAAAATCAAACATTTTTAATTGAAGTACAGATAGATACAGTAGTGTGCATACATCTTAGGTGTAAGGCCCAATGAATTTTTACAAAGTGAATTTATTCCTATAAGTACACAGAACAAGGTACAGAAATTACCTGTACTCAGGGAGTCTCCCTTTTGTCTCTTCCCATTTTTCATCCCAAATGTGATTTATATCATTCTGAGTTATATCATCATAGAGTTTAGTCTTATTTTTTTCTAATAGCTTTGTTGAGATATAATTCATATACTGTACAATTATCCATTTAAAGTATACAGTTTAATGGTTTTGAGTATATTCACAGAGCTGTGCAGCTATCACCACAATTTTAGAACATTTTCATCACCTCCAAAAGAAATCTCATACCCATTAGCAGTCTCACTCATTTCTTCTCAGTACCCCCTCCCAAGCCACAGGCAACTACTGATCTACTTTCTATCTCTATGTCTCTATAGATTTGCTTATTCTGGACATTTCATATAAATGGAATCATGTAAAATGTGGTCTTTTGTGACTGGGTTCTTTCACTTAGCATAATATTTTTGAGGTTCATTCTTGTTACAGTGCGTATCAGTAATTCATTCTTTTTAAATCGCTTAGTATTTCATATTATGGATATATTACATTTTATTCATCAGCTGAAGGACATTTGGGTTATTTCCACAGTTTAACTACCATGAATAATGGTGTTTTGAACATTTGTGTACAGGTTTTTGTTCATATATTTTCATTACTTTTGGGTGTATAGCTAAGGAGTAGAATTGCTGGGCCTTATGATAACTATGTTTAACTTTTTTAGGACCTGCTAAACTCATTTCTAAAGTGACTGTACCATGTTACCTTTCTACCAGCAATGTATCATCACTAACATTTGCTAATATTTGTCTAAGGGTTCTTTTATTTTTCCTTTTATTTATTTATTTTTTTTTCTTATTACTGGAGGAGAAGGGTTCTTTATTTATTCTGGATATAAGTGCCATATCAGATACGTGATTTGCATATATTTTTTCTCATTCTGTGGATTATCTTTTCACTTTGTTGATGGTGTTCTTTGTAGCCCAGTGGTTTTAAATTTGGATGAAGTCCAGTTTATCTGTTTGTTCTTTTGTTGCTTGTTTTTTGATATCAGTCCTAAGAATAGTCTTGCCTGCTTTTGAACTCATATATAAACGAATTCATGTACATGAATGTGGCTTCTTTTTTGCTCACAGATGTATGTAGCTATGTCCTTTTACATTGTTGTGTAACATTCTATTGCATGTATGTAACACAAGTTTTCTATTCCACTGGTGATGGACATTTGAGATATTTCCAAGTTTTCCAGGGTGTGTTTTTTTTTTTTTTTCCTATTATAAGGCTGCTGTTAATACTCATGAACATAGCATTTCATGTACTTATGGATTAATTTTTTGAAGGTACACACTTAAGTGTGGAATTACTGGATCATAACTATACTCAGCTTTAGTAGATAATGTCACTAGTTTTCCAAAGTGATTGGAATTTTTATTCCAATCCAATTCAATTTTTATTCCTATTACTAGTAAATGAAAATTCATTTGCTCTACGTCCTCACCACAACTTCTGCCACTCTCGGTTGTTAGGGTTTCTTTTGTTTTGTTTGTTTAGCCATTCTGGTTAGTTACCGTGAGTATATAGGTTGAATATCCCTTATCCGAAATGCTTGGGACTTTAAGTTTTTTCAGATTTTAGAATATTTGTGTTATACTTACTGATTTGAACATCCTTAATCCAAAATTCTGAAATCCTAAATGCTCCCATAAGCATGCTCAAAGAGTGTCTGATTTTGGAGCATTTTGGATTTTAGGATACTCAATCTGTGGTGCATTTTCTTGATGATAATGATTTCGAGCACATTTGCAAGGGACTAGACAGTAAATATCTCATGCTTTATGGGCAATGTAGTCTCTGTCCCAGCTATTCAACTCTGCCATTGCAGTGTAAACATGGTCATATCAATAATACTTAAATGAACAAGGATAGTTGTGTTCCAATCAGAGTTTATTTACAAAAAAATAAAGGCATTCATTTGGATTTGCTCCATGAGCCATAGTTTGCTAACTCATTTTAACTTGGTTAACTGGAAAGGAAGAAAACAGGGGAAGTCATTTTGGGGATATACGACTATTCAAAACCTACATTTCTTTTGCCCGCTTTTTAATGGAGTGGTTTGATTTTTGTTCTTCCTGATTTGCTTGAGGTCTTTATTGATTTTAGTTACCAGCCCTTTATCAGATGTATAGCATGCAAATATTTTCTCCCATTCTATAGGTTGTGTATTCATTCTAATGATCATTTCTTTGCCTGTGCAGAAGCTTTTTAATTTGATAAGGTCACATTTATTTATATTTGTTGCTGCTGTAATTGCTATTGGGTTCTTCTTCATAAATCTTTGCCTAAGCTGATGTCTGAAAGAGTTTTTCCAACATTTTCCTCTAGAATTCTTATAGTTTCATACCTTAGGTAAAGTGTTATCCATCATGAGTTGTTTTTTGTGAATGGTGAGAGATGTGGATCAATCCTATTTCTGTCTTCTACATGTCACTATCCAATTTTCCCAGCACCATTTATTGAATAGGGATTCTCTTCCCCAGTCTGTTTTTATCTGCTTTGTCAAAGCCTATATGAGGTTATATGAAGATGGTTTTATATCTAGGTTCTCTGTTCTTATTCATTGGTCTATGCATATGTTTTTGTGCCAGTACTATACTGTTTTGATTATTATAGCATTGTGGTATGGCTTGAAGTCTGGTAAAGTGACGCCTCCCAATTTGTTCTTTTTGCTTAAGGTTGCTTTGACTATACTGGGTCTTCTCTGGTTCCATATGAAGGATAGAATTATTTTTTCTAGATCTGTGAAAAATGATATTGGTATTTTAATAGGGATTACATTGAATCTGTAAATCACTTGGGGTAGTGTAGACATTTTAACAATATTGATTCTGCCAATCCATGAGCATGGTGTGTTTTTCCATCTATTTATGTCCTCTACTATTTCCTTCCTCAGTGTTTCATAGTTCTCCCTGTAGAGGTCTTTTACCTCCTTAGTTAAATATGTTCTAGGTATTTTATTTTCTTTGTTGCTATTGTGAAGGGTATTGAGTCTTTAATTTGGTTCTCAGCTTGACTATTGTTGGCATATATGAATGCTACTTATTTGTGTACATTGACTTTGTAAACTGAGACTGCTGAATTTATCGATTCCAGTAGTGTCCTGGCAGAAACTTTGGGGTTTTCTAGATATAAGATCATATTGTCCGCAAAGAGTGATAGTTTGACCTCTTCTGCCCCCATTTGGATACCCCTGATTTCATTCTCTTGTCTAATTGCTATGGTTGAGACTTCTAGCACTATGTCGAATACAAGTGGTAACAGTGGGCAACCTTGTCTGTTTCCAGTTCTAAGCGGGAATGCTTTCATTTTTTCCCTGTTCAGTATGATGAACAGAAACTTTTCAAAGGGCAATAGACTAATGGCCAACAAACATAGGGAAAAATGCCCAACATCTTTAATCACAAGGGAAATGTAAGTCAGAACCACAATGTGATATCACTTAACTCCAGTGAGAATGGATTTTATCAAAAAGTCCCAAAACAAATGTTGGCATGAATGTGGAGAGATAGGAACACTCGTACACTGCTGGTGGGACTGCAAACTAGTGCAACTTCTATGGAAAGTAGTATGGAGATACCTCAAAGAACTAAAAGTAGAACTACCATTTGATCCAGCAGTCCCACTACTGGGTATTTATCCAAAGGAAAACAAATACATTCTGTAAAAAAGACACCTGCACTTGAATGTTTATAGCAGCACAATTCACTGCTATAAACAAACCAAGAGGTGGAAACAACCCAAGTGCCCAGCAGTATACATGAGTGGATTAGTAAAATGTATATATATACTGTGGAGTACTACTCAGCCATAAAAAAGATGAACTAATACTTCTTGTATTAACCTGGATGGAACTGGAGACCATTCTTCTTTTTTTTTTTTTTTTTTTTTTGAGACAGAGTCTCGCTTTGTTGTCCAGGTTAGAGTGAGTGCCGTGGCGTCAGCCTAGCTCACAGCAACCTCAAACTCCTGGGCTCAAGCGATCCTCCAGCCTCAGCCTCCCGAGTAGCTGGGACTACAGGCATGCGCCACCATGCCCGGCTAATTTTTTTATATATATATCAGTTGGCCAATTAATTTCTTTCTATTTATAGTAGAGACGGGGTCTCGCTCAGGCTGGTTTTGAACTCCTGACCTTGAGCAATCCGCCCGCCTCGGCCTCCCAAGAGCTAGGATTACAGGCGTGAGCCACAGCGCCCGGCCGAGACCATTCTTCTTAATAAAGTATCACAAGAATGGAAAAACAAACACCATGTGTACTCACCATTAAATTGGTACTAATCGATCAAAACTTACATGGACATAGGAAATAACATTCATCTGAAATCAAACAGTGGGAGGATGAGGAGGGGATGGGTAAATTCACACCAAACAGGTACAGTGCACACTGTCTGGGGGATGAGCACACCTTTAACATTGACTCAAATGGCACAAAAGTATGTAACCAAGATGTTTTTACTGCCTTAATATTCTGAAATTAAAAAAGAAAAAAAAAACATTTCTAGAAAAGACTAGAGTAGATTTGACATTTTCAGAGTTCATTTTCAACATTTTAAAAAATTTAGACTTTTTGTATAATTCTTAATGCAAAACAGCCATTGCCTTATTTACCATTTTTCAAGTTGATATTTATTATAAAAAGCTGATAGAAAATAACAAATATTGGTGAGTATTTATTTCAGAATTTAACTTTATAACCTGGACTTAATTCTTTCTTGTCTCATAGTACAGAAATAATTTTGACTATGAGAGGAAATAAAGCATTGGGTTTTTTTGTTTTTGTTTTTTTTATTATGACAGAGTACACATAACATAAAATTTACCATCTTACCCATTTTTAAGTGTACAATTTAGTGATATTAAATACATTCATAATGTTGTGCAGCCATCACCACCATCCATCTCCATAACTCTTTTCATCTTGTAAAACTAAAACCCTGTATCCATTAAATGATAATTCCTCATTCCTGCCCTAACCCCAGCCCTTGGCAACTACAATTCTTTCTGTCTTTATGATTTTGACTAACTGTATAAGTGGAATCACACAGTATTTTAAGAATGACTTATTTCACTCAGCATAATGTCCTCAAGGCTCGTCTATGTTGTAGTATATGTCAGAATTTCTTTCCTTTAAGGCTAAATAATATTCTCTCATACACACACACCCCACATTTTGCTTATCCATTCTTTTGTTGGTGGACACTTGGGTTGCTCCTGTGTTTTAGTCGTTGTGAATAATGCTGCTGTGAACATGGGTGTTCAAATATCTCTTTACGACCGTGCTCCCAATTCTTTAGTTATTTGCTTGTTTAGATGAATGAAAAAGCCATGAGCTTTGTGGGCTGTGTTTTACATATCAGTGAATCAGATAGAAGAATGATCATAAGTAAAGTTTGGTAGGCTAGTGTTGATTGTCCAAATGGTAGAAGACAGATTCTAAAAATGAATAATCCTAGGTTTTAGCTGTGGTGATATCCAGTGCTATATATGTTTCACTTTCATAGCCGAATAGCCACCTAGGATTTTTATATTACTATGTCAAGAATTTAAAGCCTAACCAAAGAGCCATTTTTCTTCTCCAACCTGTTTTAAGTCTTAGCTGCAATTACTTAAACAAGTTCTGGTCAAAAACAACAAAATCAAGAATGGTAAGTAAAGGCTTGTACATTACAGTTAGCTTTCCAACCTCACAGCATATAAATTTTCAGTTTTTTCTCTTTTCTAAAGTATACCATAAGGGGGAATCATTCTTTGTAGGACGTTATGCTCTTAGTAGATAGCATTCTATTGTCTTCTGTCACAGAACCTACTTATTATTAAATAAAAAAATTGTTAAAATAGTGTTTAAAGTTAATTCTTTAAATTCACTTAACATTTTTGTGGTTTTATGCTAATAATTTCCTTCCTTATTCAGTTCTTTGGAATAAAAGAGTATTAATTTTATGATCTACACACTTAAGAATTAAAATTGATGTCATTCATGAAGTTACTTCATGCCTTAGGAATGGATATGTACCAATAACTCACAATTTTCAATAATTCATATAACTCACATCAAAATTCCTAGTTTGGGTCAGAAGCATTGTTTTAACTCTTAATCTCTTGGGTTTACTTATGCTTCAAATAAGTAAAAACTTAGATAAGCTTTAAAGTGTGATATTTTGTAGATTTCTGAAACATGGCAATTTGTTTTACTGAGGTCAAAACTTTAAATGAAGACATTTTTTAAAAAGAAGATAAAAGTATGTGCTTCTAGCCTTATGACATAACTTGACTTACAAAGGACTTTCATTTCTTTGCATTTTTTAATTATATGACAGATTTTTTTTAATTATTAAACTCTCACCAAGTTAAAAATGAGTATATGTGTATTTATAACGTGTGCTAATTGTTAGACACTACAGATTAGATTTCCTCCTCCTATTTTATCTTCTTTTAATGATGAGAATAATTGGAATTAATCATTATTGTCGGGGGACAATACATATATTTGACAGAACTAGAAGAACAGACTCGAAAAGCTCTAGAACTGGATCAGGAACGAAAACGAGCAAAAGAAGAAGCAGAACGGCTTGAAAAGGAGCGTCGAGCTGCTGAAGAGGCCAAGTCTGCTATAGCAAAACAAGCTGCTGACCAGATGAAGAATCAGGAACAGCTAGTAAGGGGACTTAGTTCTATTAGAGAAAAAGAAAAATTTAAATAAAAGCATAGACTGAACTTTCTTTAAAAAACCAACCAAGTGTTTTATGTTTTCTGAAAAGCAAACCCTAAAAACAATGAGTGGAAATAAACCTAAACATTGTATTTCTGCCTAAAGAAAAACCTAAAAATGAAACAATAAAATATATTTTTCTACAGATTATTTATAAATGCAGTCTATTGCCAATGAAAGATTCTGACTCACTTAAGACTTTGGACAGGTTCTATAATAAGCCAGCTGGTATTTTTATGCTTTAGTTATAAGTTGATACTTTATGTTCTAGTTTCTATAAGATAACTATTGGCCATAATTGGTTGGGTTTTTTTTTTTAATTTAGTGGAGTATGCATGTCACTTAGAAGATCCTGGATTTGAATATAGTTCAGGCATTTACTTGCTATGTGTCTTTGAGCCTCAGTTTCCTCACTTTGAAAAGTGGAATGATAATACCAAATAGGATTGTTTGGGGAATTAAATGATTTGACAAAGGGCTCTTTAAACCATAAAGCATTATATAAATATAATTTTTTCTTTTGTAGACTTTAGCAAATAGCTTGTTTATTGATAAAAGTTAAAGAAAATAGCTTCTCAGTTATACATTTTAGGTTCTTGGTACTGAAACAGGATTAACTTCTTGTCTATAGAATAATAAAAATCTTTTTGTTTCTATATTAACTCATTGTCTCAAGGACCTACTATAAATAAGATATTAAATATCTTACAGAAATAGTTGCCTTTTCTAAAAATGAAAAGGCTAAGAAAAATGTGTAAGATAGCCCAAGCATGTGCATTAAAGTTTTGTTGACTTAACATATCATAAGATTATTCAAAATATATTGAGTTTTTTAAGTCTTGGTAATCCTCTTATTTATTTTAGGCAGCAGAACTTGCCGAATTCACTGCCAAGATTGCACTTCTAGAAGAAGCCAAGAAGAAAAAGGAAGAGGAAGCTACTGAGTGGCAACACAAAGTAACCATTTGTTTGTCCATTTACTAGTTTTCATTGAATAGCTATTTTGTACCCAGCAGTATGCCCAAGGGTATGCTAACTTTATAGAGAAGATTATGATGCTCTCATAACTTAGAGGGTGAAAGACACATATATGTGTTTGGGTATTATAAATATTTACTTATTAATGTAAGCTAAGTGCCTTGGGAACACATAAGAGGTGATTAATTTCTGTGGGAACAAGATAGATGTTGAGGGAAACTCACATATGTTTAAGCTGAGTCTTGAGTAATAAATCTAATTTATTAAAAGATTGGAAGTAGTTAGGGACTAGATAGGTGGTCATTCCAGACAGAACTGAATGAATATAGGAAGTATGAACATACATGATAGATTGGAGGACAACCAGTAAGCAACCAAAGCTTAGAGTATGGATAGGTTCAGAAATGTTGGGAGATGTGGCTGGCAAGTTAGATAATAGAAAATTAAATTGCTAAAAGCTTTAAATAAATGCCCTGCTAAGGCAAAGCCATAGAGCAGGGGTTCTCAAACTTTTTAAACAGGGGGCCAGTTCACTGTCCCTCAGACAGTTGGAGGGCCGGACTATAGTTTAAAATACTATGAACAAATTCCTATGCACACTGCACATATCTTATTTTGAAGTAAAAAAACAAACAGGCAAAAACACCCGCATGTGGCCCATGGGCCATAGTTTGAGGATGCCTGCCGTAGAGAATATCTGTAGACTTCAGGCTCAGAAGATTTTGAAACAGGATTTTAAGATGATCAGGTATGATTTTATAAAAATAATTTAACAACCAGTATGGAGGATGAATTGGGATAGTGGATACTTAAGAGATAAAGACCCAAACTAAGGATGTGAATATGAGAATGAAGAGGAGTGAGAAGAGTTAATAGACATTTTGTGGTAGATTCAAAAGGGCATGGCAGCCAATGATTGGTCATGAAGTTGAATTAGAGGAAAAGGATGCAATGAATATGATACTGAGATTTCTAATGTGAGTTCCTAAACAGATGAAACTACCATTGTCTAAAGTAGAACACAGGTGTAAAATCAGGAAGACTGAGGAACATAAGATGATGAGAGTTAAATAACATTAACTCTTAAATGTAACTGTAATAATAATTTTTTATGCTCAAAGAAGATAGTTATATATGATGATTTTTCCTACAATAAAATGTACTTATTACAGAAAACAGTTTTCTTTTACTCTTAGGTAAATTTTCTTTGTAGCAGTTTAAATTTTATTAGGAAGTTTTTGATTTACTGAAAATTATGTGTATGTATATATATATAATGCTACAAAAGGAATAAAATTCTGTTAATCTCAGGTACTGAATTTTTGTTATTAGAATTTTACAAGTCCCTTTTAGGGATGATTTATGAACTTCAGAGACATGTAAACTTTTAAAAATGCTAGAGATGCAAATCCTTGAATTAAAAAACATTAGAAAATATACACAAAAGAAAATTACATTCTCACAAACTAAGATCACTGTTGTAAAAGCCTAGTGCATATCCTTCCAGTATCTTTTCTGTATGTGTGTATATACATACACATTTATATATTCAAAATGAAATCTTACTATGAATACTCCATTTTAGTGAATTTTCATATCGTCTAATATTGGACTAGATTAAAAATTTCCCCATTTACTCAAAAAGTCTCAAATTATGGCTAATTTGCCAGGCTCGTGTTCAAAGTAGTACTTTGCATTTCCTCTGTTTGCTCTGAGTCTCTTTTAATGTAGAACAGTCTCTCCTTTTATGATTTTGATTTATTGAAGGTACCTGCACATGTCCCACTTGCTGTATTTAGTTGCTTTCTCATGGTGTTATTTCAGCTTGTCCTTTAACCCCGATATTTCCTGTGAACCAGAAGTTAGATTCTAGTAGCTTGAGGAATAAAAGTTTTTAATCACGATGCTTCAGAAGTGAGACTTCCATATATAATTAATTTATCATCTCTACTGGAGCACTTGAGAGTAAAAGAGAACGTTGATAATTACACCAGGACATAGTGTAATGCCAGACTTTTCCAGGTAAACTAGGACAATATGATCACCCAAATAATTGGTGGAATTGGATACTGCAATTTGTATTATATCAGAAGACACTTAATATCTAGTTAACCAGTCATTAGTATTTTAAGTTGATCATTGGATTAGAGTAATGACAGACTAATTCTTCTGTTGTTTGGTTATATTTTTCCCTTTGTGGCTCAAATGTTATCTATTTAATATTAGGTATGGCATTTTTCGGCATTATAGAAATATCCATTTACCATCAGCATTTACATAACCAATTTTAGCAAAAATTGATAATCCTTGCCAGAATTAGTAATTCTATTAGGGTTTGCAAATGATGATTTTTAAATTTTTGTCTCTCTTACCTGCTGGCATTCTTCTATAAAAAATAGAGCTTTCATCAATAGGGCCAATTTTCATTACCTTGAAATATAGTTTATGTTAGGAAGGCAGGATAGTCCAGGTGCAGTGGCTGATGCCTGTAATCCTAGCACTCTGGGAGGCTGAGGCGGGTGGATCACTGAAGGCCAGGAGTTCAAGACCAGCCTGAGCAAGAGTGAGACCTCCATCTCTAATAAAATTAGAAAGAAATTAGCTGGATAACTAAAAATATATAGAAAAAATTAGCTGGGCATGGTGGCACATGCTTGTAGTCCCAGGTACTAGGGAGGCTGAGGCAGAAGGATTGCTTGAGCCCAGGAGTTTGAGGTTGCTATGAGCGAGGCTGATGCCACGGCACTCTAGCCCAGGCAACAGAGTAAGACTCTGTCTACAAAAAAAAAGAAAGGCAGGATAATTTGATTCTTTTAACTATCAGTTTTTAAAGTAAATTGCTCATAAACTTATTTTTAATGTTTCAGGCTTTTGCAGCACAGGAAGACTTGGAAAAGACCAAAGAAGAGTTAAAAACTGTAATGTCTGCCCCACCTCCACCTCCTCCACCACCAGTCATTCCACCAACAGAAAATGAACATGATGAACACGATGAGAATAATGCTGAGGCTAGTGCTGAATTATCAAATGAAGGGGTAATGAACCATAGAAGTGAGGAAGAACGTGTAACAGAAACACAGAAAAATGAGCGTGTTAAGAAGCAACTACAGGTATTTAAAATTTGCCATTGTATTCACATTTAAAATATAATTTGCATTTTCCCCATCTAAGACAAACTCACTTAAAAAGAACGTATAATTTTTAGAAGCCTTGTGATTGGTTTGTGAATGAGTGGCCTACAATCATGTTATTTCATTTCTTCCATTGTATGACCCCGTTAACAAATGTTGTTAGCTTTGTATAATCAGACCTTAACCTAGTGAGTTATTTAATTATAGCTTGATCCATTTTAAGAGGTAGAAAGTGTTCTAATACTTTGTTAAAAAAACAAAAGAATTTAGTTTTTAAACAGTAAAATGTACATTGAAAGGCAATAATACTTAATAGACTACATTAAGACATTACATAATCTTATTCAGATTTTATAATGGCAAAAGGTCAGTTTATTAAATGTATATAATTAGATCAAAATAGGGAATTTTAATATGAAGCCTTTATTCCTGGTAAGTTATCTAATATTTTAATTGGTGAAATCTTTAAATATTAGTAAAAGAAAATGAGGCAATATTTGCAATAAATATATTAAGACTTTGTTGAAGATTTCCTTCATGGTATACATTTTAGATCTTGTAATGTTACTCTAAAATGGCTCCATTGAACTTTTTGTAAGTCATTTCCAGTATTGAGTGAGAAAGTTAAGGAAATTTAGAATAATATGCAAAATATCTTGGTTGTTAAAGGCCATGGATATTCCTTCCTTGCCATTACCATCACTGTTACTAAAAGTAAAACAAACACACTTCAGAGAAAAAAGTTTCACAGTGGAAATTTTAGTAGATTTGGCATATGTATATGTATTTTTGCATCTTTAAATCATTTTCATGAATTTTTTAAAACTGAGAAAAATATAATAGTCATACTTCTTATTTTTTAAATATAGGCATTAAGTTCAGAACTAGCCCAAGCCAGAGATGAAACCAAGAAAACACAAAATGATGTTCTTCATGCTGAGAATGTTAAAGCAGGCCGTGATAAGTACAAGACTCTGCGACAAATCCGACAAGGCAATACAAAGCAGCGTATTGATGAGTTTGAAGCAATGTGAGAGCTGTTATTTTGCATACATGTTCTTCATAAGCTGAACCACCAACAGAGAAAAGCAGGCCTTTGCAGATGTCATGGAATGCATCCCACCTTGCCAAAGCACTTATATCAGTTTGACTGTGGTGGCTAAAAGACAAATTTAAGGGGAGCTCTTCAACATTAAGGCAGTGTGATGTCATGCTTGATTTTCATTTTCTTTTGGGTCAGGGAATGGAGAATGGTGTTCCATCACCCCCCTTCATATTTTTCACTTTCCATTTTTTTTTTTCTGTTGAAGCTTAACACTAATGATCATGTCTGACAAATGTGTTTGTTTGGTTTGAGCACTTTGTACATTTTAAAGGATAATGGTGACATTTTAATGAGTGTTTTCCTTGCCCCTTCCATATATGTCCACATTCTCTCTCACTTAGCATTTTCTCAGTGTGCCCTTCTCATATCCTGCCATGCCCACAGCCATAATTCTGCCATCATAGAGATCAAGCAGTGTTTAAAATGATGGTAGGTTGCAGAGTGGACAGTCCTTTTGATCATTGTGTAGAAGATGGCTATGAATCATGAAAGAGATTAGAATATTTAATAGTATAGAATACAATTGGTGGTTAAGTTTTTTAAATCCCAATTTAATTCCATTATTGGATATTTGATATTTGCTTACTTAACTGCAGTCATCTTTGACAGCTAAATCGATTGGTGTTTCGTCTCCTATAAGCCTCCGATGGTTTTCTTTGTTTGCCGATTCAGAGATGTAGACAGCAGGTTCCTAGGAGAGTTTATTGATAAAATAGTCTCTGAAAGATTTTTTAAAGTTTTGCTCTTTCATAGATTGATTTAGAAAAACAAACGATTAATAAACGAAACTACATTTGTTGGTAATTGTCTTTAATCATTTGAAAAAAAAACCTGGATCTTTCTGGAACGGTGGCATATGAAAACAACAGTCCCAAGAAGGGGACAGTAATGTAACACTACCTCACTACTACACCTGCGATGACTGGTTGTTAAAACACAATGGAGTGTGTAAGCTATATGTTTTATATTTCATAGTGGTGGTCTCAGTCATTTAGGAATACTTTTGAAATTTCATTTTCCTTCAGAATACTTTAGAATGCTGAATTTTTAACTGCCTTTTTGTTGAGTCAAACTGTGGGGCTCTGATTTGTATTAAAATTGTAAGCTCTCACTGATATACTATCTTCCTGGAGGGGTGTTGTATGGCTGAGGAAGTGTGTGTATATGTGTATGTATGTATGTGTAGAGAGAGAGATGCTATTCTTGTAGCATATGAAGGGTGTCTGTACCTTCATTTCTTGATATGATAGTTACATAATCATTTTAGTATATTTGGTTTCTAAATCACTATGCTTATTTTTTTTCAGTCGCTAAATAAAAATACTTAGATTTGGTTTGTTAATCCTATTTTAGAAATTATAATTTTAGTTTACATTAATTTCAATTAAATCTTACTGAAGAAATCTTTCCAGTTAGAAAGATGTTCCTAATATTCACATGTTCTAACATTTTCTTTGTTGTAAAAGCACCTAGATTTGAAGATACAGAAAGCCTTGTTTTCTCTGTGTGGTTCAGCTACTTTCCATTTGGTATTATGCATTCAAATTTACATTTATCTATTAAAATTGCCATTTTATTAAACATTTTTCATGCACAGTAGATTCAAGTTGTGTCTGAAAATATCTCTTGTGCTTTTTTGATTTTGCTGACTTTTAAAAGGATTAATCTGGGCAGACATTATACAAAGGAAAGGCTGCATTTAATATATTTTTTGGACTTTGTAGGACAAAAGATAACTGGTTAACCTTGAAGTGACTGTTGTACTGTGGTTGTGCACATGCTTCAAAACCCTATCGAAGAGAATGTTTCTACTTGTTCATCAGAGGAACAGGAATGGTGGATCCCTACTAGTCATACTTTGAAACATAAATGTTCACCTTAAAACAATTGCCATAATAAGTGAAAATCTGGATTTCCATTGGAGTTGTGTGCACTACCATTGCTACATCAGTTTGATACAGTGTTGAAAATTTGCCAGTTATATTTGCTGTTTATAAATCTATTTGTAGATTAGGATTAAAATGGATTTAATCCATTTTTAAAGCTGTGTGAATTTTTCTAAACAGTAACAACCATTTGCAATATGGGTCTTCATAGGGATTAAACCAATTATAACTTTTATCATTAGCAATTGAGAGCACATGTTCATATAGCAATGTAAAAATACACTAATAAGTATTTGATAAATTCCAGTAGGCTTTTGCCATTAGCATAATTTTGTGTTGTACAATTAAGTTACAGTTACATCTCTAATTTTGGATAATATTCATTGGTTAACAATAAAGTGACAAAAGCTCATGCCTTCAAGGTCCACTGTTGTTTTTTGACATGGATTTCCTGTATATTTCTTGATCATTATAATCTTTCAGAGCCATGAATCATCACATCTTAAAAATGAGAAGTGGATAGGAAAACTTTTAAAATTCTCATAGATTAACCCTTTCCCCGAAATTTTACCTCTTTTAGTATGGAAGTAATAGTGATTAATTCTGTGGAAAAATCACTAAATTGACTGTCTTGACAACAGAAAGTAATTTAGGATTTCTAGTCATTGCTTTTATTGTATAGTATTTAGTTTCTTTTTCCTGAGGGAGATAACAGTTTCTTGTCATTGATTCATCTCACTACTAAAATTTTCATATTCTTTAAAAGAACTATATGCTAAGTGCAGTTATTTAAATATATATTTTTATTTTAAAGCTTTGTTACAGAGCAGTTACCATAAATCTAGAAGTTAATTGCTTTTTTAAAAGCTTCTTACTAATTTTAACATGATTCTTAAGTGATATCTGTTCTAAAATAGTAAAAGCCAGGGATCTTCTCAGTTTATAGTAATATTTAACTGTCACTTTATTATTTCCATTCTCAAGGTCAGGTAATGATTACTTTAATTCTGTCAGAAAAGAAAAGGGAATTTTATATAATATTTTGCTTTATATCTAATCAGAGTTTTTAAGAACTAGAATTATCACTTACAAAGTTATCTTAGATTTTAGTGGAACTTGCTCTTGATTATCATTAGAAAAATGTTTCATTATTAGTGTTGTGATTTTAAAAAGATTTCCCACCACTGTCTATCTTACTTTTGATCACTTTGTTGATTAAATGTTTTTAGAAAGAAAAATAAAATAAACTTTTTAAATTCAAAAGCATCCCATTTTAAGTAGGCACAATAAAAAGTCTTTTTAAAGTTAAAACCTGAAACTAGGCCGGGCGCGGTGGCTCACGCCTGTAATCCTAGCTCTCTGGGAGGCCGAGGCGGGCGGATTGCTCGAGGTCAGGAGTTCGAAACCAGCCTGAGCAAGAGCGAGACCCCGCCCGTCTCTACTATAAATAGAAAGAAACTAATTGGCCAACTAATATATATAGAAAAAATTAGCCGGGCATTGTGGCACATGCCTGTAGTCCCAGCTACTTGGGAGGCTGAGACAGAAGGATCGCTTGAGCCCAGGAGTTTGAGGTTGCTGTGAGCTAGGCTGACGCCACGGCACTCACTCACTCTAGCCTAGGCAACAAAGCAAGACTCTGTCTCAAAAAAAAAAACAAAAACTTGAAACTAAACTATAAAGAATTTCTTTAGCATTAATATGCTGAGCTGATGAGTAAAACCAAGGCCAAGATATCATTAATGTGACGAATAAGGGAAAACAGTTAAATGTGGAGATAAATTCCACTGGTAGACAAATTCCTGTCTTTAAATTTGTTATAAATTAACAGAACTTTACCATTTTTTTTTATTTTGTGCCTTCTTCATTCTTTGTTTAACTAGGAGATTATCAAATATTCTAGTGTGTGTTATCATGTAAAGTGACAGTGTTCCAAAACTTTCAAAAGATTAGTGGATTCTGCAGATGTTTTTGATAACTTCATCAAATGTTTGGCCAATCTGGCTCCTCACATTCCACACTGGTGGCTGGGAAAAATTGGCTCACAGTAATGTTCCATATGTCAAAGCCTATCACGTTCTTATGCTTGGCTTTTCTAATTAAATAATTTAAACTCCCATTTTTTCTTCAGTAGACCATCTTAGTATGTCCATCAATCAAAATTAAGAGCTGCCATTTTCCCTGTGGAAAGATCATGACTATTTACTTTGTATCCTCACTACTCTGTCCTTAAACTCCTGTGGTACAGAGTTTGGGGTAGTATATACTGCTTTGTAGTTGAAATATCCATTATTATTTTGTGCAGAATTTTAATGTTCAAGATCATGACTAAGATAATTACCCCATGACACATCCCGTGCAATCAGGTTTATGTTTTGGCTCTGGAGAATCCTAGCTACTCAGTGGCTCCATGTTCTTACTTAATGATCTTCATTTAGCCAATAATAAGTGCCTGCTATATTCGAGGACTTAGAAACAAGATTAGAATGACTGTTATCCTTTATTTTGGCCTACATTAAAATATGGACCTTCAAGTAATTTATCTTAGCTCTTAGATCACTTGCATTTATCTATTACAATATCGTTTCTTTCAAAATGGCAGTGCCATATTGTTGCTTCATGTTATCTGTATGCCCAGATTCCTCCGTGCTTGTAGCTAGCCAATTGCTTCCATTTGTGTAATTTATTATTTTTAATTACCCTATTCTAATTGTTTTCACTTTTATTTAATGGTCATTTAAATTTTTGATTTGTTTTGGTATTTATGCATGTTATTTAGTTTGCTCTTAAAAATAGTGAATACTGGTTTTAGTTTTTTATCTTTACTAAATCAATATAGCCAAATGTCCATCTTCCTAGAAATATGGAAACTGAATTTCTGAGATTATTTATGTGACTATCCTTGGAAAAGTTCCTTTTTATAAAACATATTTATTATATGAAATTCTTATGCTTATTATAATGTATGCCATGATATCCCTATTTTTCCAACTTAAATAAGATGTTTTAGACCTAGAAATGCATGTATTTCTTGAAATC